CTCCAGCCTTCTGTGTATCTTTCTTGGGCTCATATCATGCCAGAAATGCTATGAAATCCCATTATAGTCATTATATAAGAAACCCATAAAAAGGATAAAATTTTAGTGATAGCAGGGAATTTAAAAATAATCTAGTACAATTCCCATCTTTTACAGATGAGGAAAATTGAGGTTTACTAAAGTCACATGATTCATTTTCAGGGAGATGGCTCAAATACTGGAGTGCATGCTTTTGCATGAGAGATGCTTGGCACATGGGATATGTATTATCTTCAGTGTCACTGGGGGTAGTCATTCCTAGAGCATGCCTAGACCCACCACTATTTTTTTTATTAAAAATTTTTTTAATAGTGAAACATCATGAGGTACAGTTGCAGACTTACACATTTTTGTGCTTGGGTTTCAATTATACAATGATCAAAGACCCATCCCTCCACCAGTGCCCATTTCCCACCACCACGGATCCCAGTATCCCTCCCACTGCCCATCCCCCTCATCCCACCCTGCCTCTCTGTGTCCGGGCATTCCCCTCTGTTCTCTCTCTCCTTTTGGGTGTTGTGGTTTGCAAAAGAAACATTGAGTGGCAATCATGTTTGGTCTATAGTCCACTTTCAGCATGCTTCTCTCATCCTGGGAGGATCCTCCCAACACGCTTTATTTGGTGTTCCCCTCTTTATCTGAGCTCCTTTTTCCCCTAGTATGTGTGGTTGGCCTCCAAGTCATGGAGTAAAATTCCTGGTACTAATCTAGGTAGACCCACCACTCTAAAATAAACTATGACTCTGTAGGTCAAAAATTGAATTAATTGAAAAGCTAAATACAGAAACTAAGGGTTTTTCTTTCTTTCTTTTTTATTTTCCATTAGTCTGAACTTCTCTTTCCTTCAGTCCTATTTTCATCACTGAAGTTGTAACCAAATCAGGAGGAGATATTAAAAGTATTGTATTTCAGTTGTTATTGCTTTCAAGTACTTTTCAATGAATTTTTTTTATTTTCCTATGCATGTTATGCCTATACCTACGCCCTCAGTTTGTAGCTTAATAGCTAGACATTGTGAAAATTATGTAATAGTCGTCTAAAGATTACTTCATTAAAAAGAAACACATATATTAAGATTATCAAACATAGTTCCTTTTAATAATGAAAGACTTATTTGCATGTCAGAATTTGGTTATTGGTAATGACATGAAAGAAAGCAAACATCTCTTTAATTTGATGATACTGACATTTGCTTCAGAAGGCATTCTATAAAACTGCCCTTTTGGGGTTTATGATTTAGTCAGACCACTAAATACTATTTGCTCTTATTTTGGTAGAGTGACAATGTCTTGAGTAAAAACAAGTTGCATTTATTCGCTGAAAGTTAATTATCTGGCTTCATAAGATGATTATTTTGTTCTGGACATTTGACATTTGATACTTGACATTTGCAAATAAAGCATCATAAAAGCATATCGATACATATACTATCCTAAAGCTACTTGGGGTTTTATGAGTACCAATGCTTTTTTAATGTTTCCCTTTATTTCTGAAATTACTGATTTTAATCTTCAGAGCAAAGAAAAATTTTAAGACTTTTTCATAGTAAATTAACTTAAAAAATATAAAAATGAGGCCAAATAGATAATTACTGAATCTCAAATTTATTTCCTTATATATTTTTGAAATGAAGGTCAAATAGAATCTATATAAACCTTGTTAATATTTTAATTTCAGGCATAGAAATGATTATGTATAATTCCAGAATGGAGTTAGAAGTGAGGAGTATGTATATAGTAGCTATATTAGCTTGCCATGTATTCCTCAAAGTAAAATCTTTTAGATATTAGTGTATACATTTTTGTGCTGTTAAAACATGCTGGCCAAACCAGTCTCCTAAGTTGCTTTGAAATAGTTTATTATAACAGTATAACCATAGTTTTTTGTTCTATGTTAAAAAAAAAGACAAAATATGATACAAAACGAGTGTGAGATTCATAACCACAGTTTCATTTTACACCCAAGTTCTTAGTTCAAAAACTAAAATAATGCAGCAAAGCTAGTGACAGATCTATTGGAGATCAACAAATTTCAGTTCTCCCCTATGTATGGTATTATTTCATATTATACTTATTTATATTATTATGTTTAGAATATCTAGAAATATAGAAAAAAAGTCACAAATAACTTGTAAGCTTCAATGGAGAAAAGGGTCCTGAACTTGCCTTCTTCTATCCCTGCCTGCTGCACATTGTGTTCTTTTGCTGTTCTGCAATGTCACTTCATAACTCCCATCTCTATCTGCTTTGAAGACATCCACTTTAGTTAAATTTTATTTAAAAGAGGAAAGTTATTTACATAGAGTAGCATATGAAATGTCAGACATTTTTTTGTTTTAGTTGTCCTTAATAGCTGTTTGACATTAGATTCCAGTTCCTCTAAATCAGCAGTATAGTTATATTTCATAAGTATTTCAAGATAGTGTTTTGCTTGTTATAATGATAAATTTGAAATATTGTAACTTAAGCAAAAGACAAATTTCTAAAATTTAATAAATCAAACAGAAGACTTTAAACTATTACCTTTTATGTAGAATTATTTTTTAGTAGGTATAAGAAGTTAAACTTTTGAGAATACTGTTCTTAAAGAATAGACAGCAGCCAGTAATAATGGGGTGCTTGTGCAAATAGTATTTTAATTGAAAATGGGAATTCCATTGTCTTTGTTCAGATTTTTTTGTTCTGATTTTTTTAAAAAAATGTTTTCTTTTTGAGAGCTTCCCTTCACAGTGTTGAAATTAAAACAAAACAATTTGTTTGGATTTGCTAGATATTACAGGAAGAGAAGGTGCCTAAAACTTAAAAGGGAGAACCTGTATTTTTTCTTTAAAAATAAATCAGTTGACTTTATATCTGTCAATTTTGGAGAACAGGTTAGTGCTTTGAAAAATCAGTCCAAACCATAAGCTTTGGAGCAGTAATATACCAATTATAGGAAAAAACAGTAATGGAGAGGACTGGGTGATAGCTCAAAGAGCTGGAGTGTAAGCTATGCATCTCAGAACTAGTCTCCCCAATACCACCGAGAGCTACCCCAAGGACCATGCCCTGAGGAGCCTCTAAACATGGCTGGGTGTGACCCGCCGTAAAAGAACTGATGGGGAAATAAAAAATTAGCCTCAGAATTCCTTTCTAAAGATTTCTCAAATTTTCTGTGTATATAATACACGTATGTATTCACATGTACACAATATGTTCATATACACATGTGTATGTATATATGATGTAAAAAATCTTTGGGTTTTTGTATTTGGGGCCACACCAGCAGTGTTCAGGACTTAGTCCTGGCTCTGTGCCCATGGAACACTCTTGGTATTTAGTAAACCATATGAAGTATTGAGGTTGGCAGAGTTCAAAGAAAGCTCTTTATCTACTGTACAGTATCTCCAGCCCCTATAATATTTAAATCTCTGTGGTATGTGTAACCAGTTTTTTAATAAATTGTTGATATCTTTAACATTTTCCATTCGTTAATGGTAAATTCATGACACACATTTTAAAAGCAAATTACATCTTGGGGTCCAATTTTTTTTCTTTCTTTATTAAAACAGTAAAGCACCAGTTGTAGTACCTTAAAAGAATTCCAAAGCAGTGTACCTGTAAGTTTGTTCAGTAGGTATTAAGACATTTATGAACCACAATCATTTATTTTCAACAGTACTATACACAATCTATTTTTACAGCAATCCTTTGAAAAATAATTATCCCTTTTCTTAAAGACATTTAGACTGTTTAATATTTTGACCCCTTCTCCCAAACTCTAGTAGAGGAAACAGAATATTTAACGAAGAAATAAATAGGTCAGGATGGAAATAAACTACATGTGGGCATTTAACGAGGGCTGTGAAACAGTGGCAAGCTCTTAAGAGCAGGAACTCCTGATCTATTATCAGGGGCCACAGTTACTTTGTTAAGGTCACCCCATTAAAATAAGACTGTTGCATGAGAAAAGCTCAGAATTACAAAATGTCAGGAAATCTTTTCAAGTAGCAATTGGGAGGGTAGTGTTCTATATCCTATTCTATACACAGATGAAACCATTAGTTACCGTTTGCTGCTACAGTTGCTGTCTACAATCCACCTTCTTTCTGTGCTGTGACACACTGAACCACAGGGGAATTTTTTGCAGATCTGAGTAACAAAGACCAAGAGCCAAGGCTTCATTCCCCCCCACCCCCCACCAGCTGGTCTGCATCACCATGACTCAGGGTTTTAGAATATCTTGGCAAATTCAAGATATTTCTCTTCAAATCCAAATCTTCTCTTCCAGTCCCAAATCTATCCTTGGAGCTAGGTGCTAATGTACAAGGCTCCAAAGGGAGCTCTGAGTATAGAGCACAGGCTGGCTGTGCACATCTTAGAATGTGAAATGTCACACTGACCCGCCCTGTTGGCTGGTCCACTCTTCAGGTTTTCTCATCACCAAAGCTGGGCTTACAGTGCAGGGCTTGGGGGAGCTCCTTCACGGTTGAGCCATCAAGGTTACGGTAGTGTAGGGGCGCAGGTATCCCCTACCTCCAGCCCAAATGTGTTACTGATTCCCATTTCACCCCCAGAACCGTTTTGGTGAAGATTTGAAGGCTCAAGGCATTATTCATTCTCTGGTTTCTTCACATGCCACTTCTGGCAAGAAAAACCACCACCACCTGGCTAGAAAAACAAGTCACCTCCAAAGCCTAGATGTTCCAGCATGTCTTTCCATTTCTCCGACTTCAGGTGAGTGTGGAGGGCGGGGATCCAGGACAAAAAAGAAGAGAAAGAGAATGCATTCTTGGGCTGTGCCTCCTTCCCCACTTTCAGAACAAGCTGTCCCAAAAGGCTGTGGAGCGGGTGGGGGGATGGGAAGGGAGGGGAGGTCTCCAGGTGCGCTGCTGCTCCGCCTGCAGCCATCTCTCAGATCACTTAGCTAAGTCGGGGTGGAGATCTGGGGAGAGGAGAAAAGTCTTTTTGGGAGGGTGGCCGCAGCGGCCCTCAGTCTCCCGTGGAGGCGAGCAAGTACCGGGCCACATGGTGGTGGCCCCTCTCCTCAGCCAGGTCCACGGGCAGGCGGCCCCATGCGTCACGCACGTCCAGTCTCGCCCCAGCACGGTGCAGCGCCACCAGCGTGTCCAGGAAGCCCTCCCGGGCTGCGTCGTGCACGGGTCGGGTGAGGGTGACTGGGTCCGCACAGTTGGGCTCAGCACCGTGGAGCAGCAGCAGCTCGGCCACAGGGGTGCTGCCCATCATCATGACCTGTGGGAGATGGCAGAGGGGTTAGGATGGGAGTGGGGACAATGAGATGCACTTCCCAAAGCCCCTGGAATCTGCTTGCTTTTGCTTTCCTTTTTTTTTTTTTTTTGCTGATGTGGAATCCACATTATGCTCCAATTATTCTCCCCTTGTCGTTTCTGACTCTTTCTTCACCCTCGTCCCCATGAACTATTCCATCTTATTCTCCAAACTTGCAAGCGGTAAGGAAAAGCTAGTGATATAGTGCTCAGGGTCATCATGAGAAGAGGGTGGGGAACAGGAAGATGTTGATTTTCCCAGGAACATGTGCTGCTGGTTATTATTATTTTTAAAGAAGGCAGAGTAATGGTTTAGCTGAGAAAATAAAAGTTTAGTTTAAAATACAGCTTCTTTTAATTCCCTTAAGTAAACTGCTTGTGGAAGGACTTTTGCTTTTCTCTGTCATATATGTGCATTCATAAAGAGAACAGAATCTGATAACTGGAGAACAATTTGAGACAATGGGGAAAGAATAAATAGGTCAGTCTATCTTATGATGGAAACAAATGATTTGTCTTTAATAATTGGTTCACCATTTAAAATACTTTAGGTTAGTATAGTAAAGGATTAAAGCATACAGGGCAGTAATGTAATATATAACAAACATTTTGTGCAGGACTTTGTAATGTTTCATGATATATAACATAGCTTGGATATTTCCAGTCAATTTGGAGTAATCCATATATAACTTAGAAAAGTATGTTTTGGAGTAGTTATCCTGTTGCATTAATTTGTGTTCCTGTGTACTATGCAAACATCTACTTTCTTATTTTAACAAGAAAGCAATTTTTTGAACATTACATATTTAAAAGTTACTTGCTCTTGTGAGATTTTGTTTTAGGGATTAGATCCCTAACATACATGGTTCCCTGCACCTCCTAACCCCAGCAATACTGCCAGCACCACCAAAGCAACCAACTGGGAGTGCTCGGAGAATTGAGTAATCCACCCCCAGTATTGGATTCCCCCAACTCACTAAGGCATACTGTAGCATTAAGACACTTTAATTTCATAAATAATAGGCACATCAGTTTCTCTCTTTAAAAAAATTGACTTCTACTACTAAAAGTGGTCTTTTATTTTACATAGAAAATTATTCTTACAGATCAGAAAATAGTGAATTAAAACTATAAGTGAAACTTCCTGTTTACAGAGAATGCAATTTCAGATGCTTAAGAACCTTTTTGCAATGTCTGCTAGTACTTTAAGTAAAACCTCATTTTTATAACACTTCTCTTTTCTTTTTTTTGGTTTTGGACCATACCTGGCAGTGCTTAGGGCTTACTTCTGACTCAGAACGCCAGGATCACTCTTGGCAGGGCTCCAGGGACATTATGGAGTACAGGGAATAGAATCTGGTTTGGCCCTGTGCAAGGCCAAGTGTCCTATTCCCTGGACTATCTCTCCAGCCCAGAAATTTAGAATTTAAAGCAAGTGAGACTGCATTCCTTTTGAGTTCTTAGAAAAGTGTTGTAATGGGCTGGAGAAATAGAAACAATTATTTTGCATACAGAGGACCAGATTCCATCCCTAGCACCCCCATAAGGTCCCTGGAGCCTGGTTAGAAGTGATCCCTGAGTGCAGGGCCAGGAGTAAGCCCTGAGCACTGCTGGGTGTGACCCAAATACTAAAGCCAAAAAAAAAAAAAAAAAACCCAAAAAAACGCAAAACAAAATTCTACACTTAAAATTTTTTTCTTCTTTTTTTTCTTTTTGGGCCACACCCCGCGATGCACAGGGGTTACTCCAGGCTTTGCACTCAGGAATTACTTCTGGCGGTGCTCTGGAGACCATATGGGATGCTGGGTATCGAACCTGGGTCAGCACGTGGGAGACAAACGCCCTACCCGCTGTACTATCGCTCCAGTCCCTTAAAATTTCTTAATAATTGCTTGGTTTTGGAAAGCGATGGTGTGAGTAGTAAACATGCTATTAGTTCAGAATAAAGCACACAATATTACTTTATTTACCAAAGAAAATAAAGTCATCAGTACTAATTAGGATAAACATTTCGAATGAATGTATTTTAACAATGAAAGATCTTGTTACTTTTTTCTTTGGGGGCCACACTTGGAGGTGCTCAGAGATCGCTCCTGGTTCTGCCTTCAGGGATCAATCCCAGAGGGGTGGGCACCATACAGGGTGCCAGAGATGGAACCCCGGTTGAACGCACGCAAAGCAAGCGCCCTACCCTCTGTAGTATCACGCCAGACCCTGAAAGGGCTAATTATTTATTACCGTATTGGGTCACCCCTGGAGGTACTGGGGGGACTACTTATGCTTGGTGGTAGGATGTGAAGTGTAAGGGTTGCTGGCTCCCCGGGGTGCTGAGGCAGAGGCTGAATAGGTTGGTTGCGAGCAAAACAAAGAGCCTTAGCTCCTATACTCTCTCTGCCGCCCCTTGCGCATTTAAAAAAGACAGTTTCTGCACTTATATTTATGTAACCCAAACATGGTAATTGATAAAAACCGACAGAAGCATGTAATTTCTTATGTAACACCCAAGAGACGCTGCTAACAGGAAACAAAAGGAATTCAGGACTGCAACTGAGAAATCGTCTTTCTCCTTTGCATTAAAGTCGCCAATCCAGGAAAGACCACAACAATCTTTGTAGCGCAAGCGTTCAAAGCCTTAAGGTGAATTTTCCCCCCCATGTGCCACAAATTTATACCATTTCTTAAATCCAACCTAGGTTGCGTAAATGAAATCTAACGATCTCGGTAGTTGAAAATAGGCAAATAGACATGAGGGATAAAGAAAAACGTTCTGCCCAAATCACTTCTTTCTCTTCCTTACACCTTGCGTCTCCGATCATGAGATTTAAAAAAAAGAAAAACTTCTTCCACCACTAGAAGGAAACTAAGCTGCAGCCGTGGTTCTTTAATTCCTTTCTTTAGGATTTAAAAAAACATTTTTTTTTTTTTAGGACTGCGTTTATTTACACCGGGGATCCACACCTCCCACACGAGCGGATCTCGACTCGGGGGAGAGCTCGGCGTCGGCCGCGTCCCAACAGAGGCCGCGCCCCGCGTCCGCGCGCCCCCTGCCGGCCAGGCCCCCGGGCCCCGGCTACCTGGATCGGGCGCCTCCCGAAGCCGTTGACTCCGTTGGGATCCGCACCGGCTTCCAGGAGCTGCCTCACCGTCTCCACCTGTCCCCGCGCCGCGGCGGTCGCCAGGCCCGCATCCCCGGCGCCGCCACCGAGCATGCCTTTGTCCTCGTCGCGCATCTCGCCGGGCCCCGGCAAGTCGCACACTGGCCTGGAAGCGCGGCTGGCCGTGCCGTGAGCTCGGTGACCGATGTTTCTTTTCTTGGTCCACTGCGCCCCGCGTTCCGCGGCGTCCGCTCTCCACCTCCCCGGGAGAACTCGGCTCGGCTCCCGGCCCCTTCGGCCGTTCTCCTGCGGCGGGGGCGGGGGCGGGGGCAGGAGGGCCGTGCCACCACCGTCCGAGCGGCCCGTGGGCCCAGCCAGCCAGGTTCTGGGATCCGCGTCCTGTTTTCCCAGCGATAGCGGAGCCGGGGACGCGCCGGTGCCCAGGCAACGGCTCCGGGCGCGGCGGCCGCAGCTGGAAGTGCGGGCGCGTAGCCGCGTCCTTCGTGCGGTGCCCGTGCAGAGCGTCGCTCGGGGCCGGCGGCGAGTCCGCAGAGAATGAAGCCGTTTCCCAGCTGGGCGGCCGGGCGAGCTCTCCCCACCCCCTTAGGCCCCGCCCCTGTCCTGCGGGCCGGCGCGGGCACGTCCCACTGTGCGGGCGGCGGCGGGGGGGAGGGGGTGGGGTGGGGGTGGGGTGCCGGCGCTGCATGACGTCACAGTCTTCGGGCGAGGGGCGGGCGGGGGGGGGGTGGAAATATTCTAAGACGCATGCGCCGAAGCCTGGGGCCGCAGTGCTGGGTGCGCTGCGGTTTGCACAGTTGTTCCCCCAAAGCCCTGGCTAAAGTTTGGCACTGTTTCACCCCTGCACTCCAGCTCCTCATCCGCTCTCTCCAGCAGGCGGAGCAGAGCGTTTCCAGTCGGTCTTCACTCTGGAGGCGTTAGACGCGCCCCCGGTAATGGAGTGGCGTAGGGAAAGGTGTTTAAAATGACTCTTTAAGATGTCTGAAAGTGACAGCTCTGCACCTGTCCTGCCACTTAAACTCATCCGCAGGCAGTACTTGAACTTCATTAGTTTCACGTCTTGCATCAACCTTGGCAATTTTCTTCTGGGCGTGTCTTCCTATTTGAATCAGTTAAGATCAGTCTCAGTGAAAAATCCTGAGAGTCCAGTTTGGGATGTACTTTTTTTTTTTTATTCTTTTCATCTATGAATTATGGATACGATCCTTACCAAAAAAAAAAAAAACTGGTTTGAGTGGCAACCTGAGTATGTAAGACACAGTGTAATGTGAGATACTAGGATTCTTGATATTTGTACAGTATATATTGTTTGCACTTTAACCTATTTCAACCCACCTGGACACGTATTTGATTTTTATTTATCATGAGTAATAAAGAAAATTTATGCAGTAATAATGAAACATAATAAAACAGGGGTGTGGTGCTGGGCCTGTCATTAAACAGGCTGAACCTGTCATTAAATCCTCTTCTGAAGATTTAAAGGCCAAGTGCTTTTCCTTCTAAGCTTCCTTGGTGAATTTGAATGCACATAGTCATTGCTCAAAAAGTTTAAAAATTTACCATTTATGCAGGAAGAGAACCATGTAAGTTATGTGTGGTTGCCTAAAAGTTAGGGGAGGAACTGCCAGATAGCAGACCTTTTCTCACACGGAATAGTTCCTGTTTACAAAATCATTTTTGGTTCAGAGTAACCAAGAGGATATGTTTAAAGGGAGGACAACTGCTTGGTTCCTCACAAATGAGAGATTCCACTTCCATAGACTTCCCTTGCCATCCTCCTCCCAAATTAAAGAATTAGGAAGAGCTCTTTATTCAAAAAAAAATTAAAAGTTAAATTAATTTTAACTTATTTCTTTGGTTTTTTTTTGGGATCACAAATACCGATGTTCAGGGTTTACTCCTGGCTCTACACTCCAGAATGACTCCTGGCGGCACTTGGGGAACCATATGGAATTGGCAGTGATCCAACCCCGGTCACGCAATCACGGGATGGAACCTGGGTTCGCTACATGCAAGGTAAGCACCCTACCTACTATACTATCCATCACTCTGGCTCCTAATTTTAACATTTCTAACTTAAAGGTTTTTTTTTTTTTTTGGAGGCACTCTCAGAGGTGCTCAGGGACAGGGTCCTTATCCCCTCAGCCTTCATCTGAATCCCAAAGTTCTATAAAGGCTGTAAGGCCAGTGTGAATGTTGATGATCTACTCACTGAAGCTTAGCTGAGTGGATAGTCACCTTGGATAAAAAAGGAAAGGAAGCATCACTAATGACATTTCCTTTCTCTCTCCTCATCACTATTACTTAGATTTTTAGCTTTTATTTTTCATGGGTAGGGGGGCGGGGAGGTTAACTTAGCAGTACTCAGAAGTTACTTCCAGCTCAATGTTTGGAGGTCATTCCCAGCAATATTCAGGGGACCATGAGATGCCTCTAGGTGCCAGGGATTGATCCTGGGCCTCCTGCAGGCAAAGCATTTGTTCCAGACCATTGATCTACTTTGGCCCTTTTAATTTTTAAACAATTTTATCATAATTGAGGTAACATGGATACCTTATAACTTTTGTCACCCTCCACTTTTTATTTTGAAAATATATTCTTTTATTTGTTGATGGTGGCCCCATTCCTTGGAGGAATATGATTATAACTTCGAGGTAAAAACCATGGTGATCTGTTTTTGTGTAACCGAGGGGCCAAATCCCCATGCACAGGGTATTGAGAATTAGAGACATATAGATTGGGAGAAGGAAGAAGAAAGGTAGTGAAGAGACATTTGAAATAGATGGCACTGATTTTTAAAAAAATATCATGGTTATAGATGGTTGAATCACCAGATAAATGAGGCTGCAAATGGGCTAAGTTGAGACAACGTTCATTAGAAAAGCTTAGCTATTCTGACCATAAGAATTCTACCACCAAATCACTCAGGTGCCACTAGCCTTTCTGCTCTGAAATCGAATACACAACCAAAGGTAACAAGGTAGGTTGTCTTTCATTAATTTAACTAACTGGGGTAGCTGGGGTCCCACTTGATGGTGCTCAGGGGTTACTCCCACCCCTATGCTCAGAAGTTGCTTCTAAGTGGTGCTCAAGGGAACCACCTGGTGCCAGTGATCAAACCAAGATTATCAGCATAAAGGCAAATGTCTTAACCCTGTCCTATTTGACCAATTTACATTTTTAAAGGACTATTGTGATCTTCCCTTAATGTATACAATAATTTACTTCTGCAACTTAGCTTATTCCATGTTACAGGATTCTACAATTAAATAAATGCCAATGTTAGATTTTAAGAAATTCTTCCTAGTTGCACTTGAGACTAATAGTGAGTTTTAATTAGATATAATAAATTGATAAATGTACCTAAAAGGATACTTCTGGAGTAAGCAAGTGTGGGACTTAAGCCTAGCTGAGATGCAGGTAATTTTCTTAGAGGAGTTGCCAGATAAAGTCTTTAAAAAATGCACCAGAAACAAACTTTTTCCTATATTCTTATTTTGAGTCTTGGGTTTCTCTTTAACTTAGCAAGTTATGAAAAGGTAGTATGAGTCAGTTTTGGAGCCACCTGTAATGCCCTAAGAAAGTGTCTAAAAAATAAAAACAAGATAATAATGTGATAGAAGAGAATATTTTTTTTTTTTAAAGTTGTAGATTTACAATTTTTTGTGCTTTGGTTTCAATTATACAATGATCAGATACCCATCCCTCCACCAGTGCCCATTTTCCACCACCATGGATAATATCCCTCCCACCCCCATCCCCCCATGCCCCCGTCTCTGTGGCAGGGCAATCCCCTGTGTTCTCTCTCTCCTTTTGGGTGTTGTGGTCTGCAAAAGAGGCATTGAGTGGTAAACATGTTCAGTCCATAGTCTACTTTCGACATGCATCTCCCCTCCTGGGAGGATCCTCCAAACATCCTTTATTTGGTGCTCCCTTCTCTATCTGAATAGCCCTTTCCTCTAGGATACCCGGCTGGCCTCTAAGTTATGGAGTAATCGTCCTGGTGCTGATCTCAGCTATTCTTGGGTATTAATCTCATACTTTGTTACTTTATATCCCCCAGATGAATGCAATCTTTCTATGTCTATCCCTCTCTTTCTGACTCATTTCGCTTAGCATGATACTTTCCATATTGTACCACTTGTATGTAAATTTCATGACTTCATCTTTTCTAAGAGCTACATAGTACTCCATTGTGTAGATGTACCAAAGTTTCTTTAACCAGTCATCTGTTCTTGGGCATTCAGGTTTCTTCCAGTTTCTGGCTATTGTAAAGAGGGCTGCAATGAACAAACAAGTGCAGATGTCACTTCGACTATACATTTTTGCCTCTCTGGGATATATTCCCAGGAGTGGTATTGCTGGGTCAAATGGGAGCTCAATTTCTAATTTTTTGAGAATCGTCCATACGGTTTTCCAGAAGGGCTGAACCAGTGGACATTCCCACCAACAGTGAAGGAGTGTCCCTTTCTCGCCACATCCACGCCAGCATCGGTTGCTTTTGTTCTTTTGAATTTGGGCCAGTCTCTGAGGTGTGAGATGGTATCTCATTGTGGTTTTGATCTGCATCTCCCTGATGATTAATGATGTAGAGCATTTTCTCATGTGCTTTTTTGCCATTCGGATTTCTTCTTTGAGAAAGTTTCTGTTCATTTCATTGCCCCATTTTTGGATGGGGTTGGATGTTTTAGAAGAGAATATTTTTAAAAAATTATTACTATAGTGAACATATATAAAGAGCACTAAGACATGGGAAATTTGGTAATTAGAATGACTGATAGTTTTCCACGAACAGATAATTAATATCTGAACTTCACGAAGCACGTTGGCTAGTAAAGAATTTTCAACAGTTTCTGTTTCCAGGGGTCCGCAGGATTACTAGCACCACGGACAGCTCTCCCCTATTAAGCATTTCTGGGTGGTCCTAACCCTGTACTATAGACAGAATTCCTGAGAAAGCTGGAAACTAGATCTTCCAAAGTCCCTTCTCCCCTGAAGTTCAAAGAAACTATGTGAAAGGTCAGTGGACTTCCTTGCAAAGTCAGCTTGCTCTGCCTGGTTTCTAAGTATTTATTGAATAATCTGTTTATGTAAAAAATATTAAACACCATCTATACTAAAAAGAGAGGAGATATAGGAGGTATTTTATTTAACT